GTCTTGCCATTTAAAAATCCAAAGTTGATTCATATTTTATCACATAACAAAAAATGTGAAAATTTTAGGAATATTAATATTATATGTAGATTTGGTTTAAAGTCAACAATTCCAAAAAAAAAAAGATTAAAAAGTTAAAACTTTTCGAAATAATAAGTGTCTTACGTTAAATAGATCACTCTGTATATGATATTAATATTAATAATTTTCATATTTAATGTGTAAGCAATTTAATGGAATTTGTGCATTTAAGTAGAAAGACACATAACATATACATATTAATTTTTTTACTTTGATAATCTTACATTAAAATTACATTAAAAAATATCATATCTACGTAATAAATCAACCCTACATAATAATATATATGTATATCCTTGTGCTCTAAAATGAGTATCACTGGAATCCTTGAAAATTAGCTGCCCAATTATAGATTTCTCTTTTAGATATTAATTTTCTTCAACCCAACATTAGTCTCCCCTTATATTGTCTGGCATCTGSCCCCTTGAGTTTAGTTGAATAAAATATGTGTCATTCATCTTTGTCTTACATAGTTACCTACATACATTAAAGTCGTGTATAGCATGATGAGTATGGCCTAAAATATATAAATCCATTTTTTTAAATATATAATAATGATTCAAAATACATTTTTTATATTTTTGTAATGTATCCACAATCCATAATTCATATCGATTAATAATAAATAATTATAGGTACCAATTTCAAGAAACTTATACTACGTTTTCCACTTAAAAATGTCCAAAAATTTAAAATATTAAGAACAGTTGTCGAAATCTATGATCTGCTATTATATTATTTTATATATTCCATGGAATTTATTTCGGATGTTAAACTCTTATTATTTATTTTAATAATCATGCGATAATGGCAGTGTTGTTATAACGATAGTATAATAACTAATAAGTAAATAGTAATGACTTTAGTGACTAATCTTTTACTTTGCAAACATATACATATAATACATAATTATTATTATATTTCAAGGTTACTAGTCTACCATATATATATATATATGCGAATATGTTTAACTATTTTAACCAAACCCACGCAATAATACAAGATTATTATATTTGATAATCTTTGTATGCGTATAACAATACACCTAATGGTCTATTATTTTAAAATTTAAATGGACTTGTTAATTTTTCGTCAATGAGAAACATGTTTTATTGTATTTTTTCAATTATTATTTGAAATATGAAATATGATCTACGATAGGTAACTTATAATTGCAAAATTATTTATCTTACAGTAGTT